ATTGAGTAATTGAACAGTTAGGTTTGAAGGCAACTTCCCCTTGATAAGTCTGTCTCCTGCCTGCTCAACAATTATTCACTTATGCAATTTAATTTTTCGGAATAATATATTTTTTCATGGTTTTAGATATGTGCACTTAAATTACATATGCTCTTAGAATTTAAATGATATTGTAAATTAGTTCGCAGTAATAATAAATTTTATTTTTGATTTGATTTTCATATTTTTTTTTTTTTGCAATTAAAATTTCTTAATCAAATTTTAATTTTATATTAGCTTTATATGAATAGAGAATATTTGTTAAATGTAATTATAGATAATGTACATATTGACGTGATCAGCAACGGATATGTCGCCAATGGGGGGTCTTTCCTTGATCACTTTCCAGTCATCGTGACAGATACTAGGAAGTTTCCTGTAAACCTGATGTCACACAGGGTTTGAGGATAAAATATTTCTGGATGTCTTTTGAAGAACTTTTGGGACATGTGTTGGAATTATATTCAGTTTCATTCCATTAGCCATGGCTAAGAGACCTTACTTAAAAGTTTGTCCAAAATCACCGAACATAAGTGAATAGTATACAATTATTCACATATGAACACTTATGGGCTCAACAATTATTCACGTATGGACACTCCAACTTTCCGTCTACCTGGAAGACATTTTCCAAAAATTCACGAAAGGTAATAAAGGTAGGAGAAGATGCGTTGTGTGCACTAAAAACAAGGAAAAGCGAAAGCAAACAACGTATTTCGAATGCAAAATATGCAGTGTAGGACTGTGTATCGATCCTCATTTTGAATTATTTCACATACAGCAGAATTTTTAAATTGGAGTTTAATTACCTACAAATAATTCTTGCCTGGTGTTTTTTTTTTTATTTCGGATTTCTAATTTTGTTTTCATGTTTATAGTATTTATTTCTGTGTGTACAGTTATGATTTTAGTATTTTGCCTGTTTAATTTAATTCTATTAATGTGATATTTTCATACTAATACACATTAAAAACAAGTACATTAAATATGCAACATCAAAAATTGAAGTCATTATATCAAAATGTTGATTTTATACGATTTTTTTTTTTTTAATTAGGCTTAACTGCTGAAAATGTGCCGGCCAGTGGCAACTATCCATTTCAGCGTGTCCGGTCCTATGACTGTGCTTCATTCTCCATGTTCTGGTCCTTGAAGGTTTACTAAAGTATGGGTAAGAAAGTGAAACATTTGATGAACCAAAATACTTTCTTCATTTTCTCCTCACATGTAAACAACTGGTTTTAGCATCACTTAGCAAGTAATACACACACACACACACACAAAAAAAAAAAAAAAAAAAAAAAAGCTTAGCACATTATTTACACTATTTCGATGCACTGAGAAATATATTACTAATGGAAAAGTACTTTTCAACTACTTGAGTGGACGTTTTACACTTTACGACACAGAACTATAAAAAAATTAGTAGTTTTCTTTTATTAACAAATCTGTCACAGCACACATTAATAGTGGTCAAGTATCTATTGACCAGTAGCTCACAATATGTGCTCAGAAGATGATAAAACACAGCCATCAAAATAAAAAATGAAAGAACCCAGTCAACTCTGCTGCAGTATTATTCAAGCAGGTTATATTGCACATGGGGAGAAAAACACCAATTTCAGAGTCCAGCAATCAAATTATATCTCAGGCATAAAATTACTGAAAACTAATTACTCAAATTGTAAGACTGTCATTCTGAAACTCACTACATAATTTTAAAAATTTCATTAAAAATGGGAAACAAAATTCAATGCACAGAACCACTTAAAGTTTTCTATTTCGATACCCATTTACTTGATAACTTATAATCATCCTCTTAAATCATAAGTTATGAATATTTTTTGCCCTCTGCAAAAAATAATGAATAATCTCCAAACACAAAACACTTTTAAAAGAATAAATATTCCCTAATCCGTAGAGAAAAACATGTAAGACATAAAAAATCTCTTTGCCAGTTTTCACATTTCATGCTAATGAAAAATATTATTATGTAAAACAGCTTTTCACTTAGAAGATACTTCATAAAAGGAGATTAAGATAATTCATTATGGAATTTGATTAAAGATTTATGATTTTAGTAAAATACCAAACATAAGAAAATCATGGTAACTTAGGAGTGGGGAACAAAAGAAAACTAATTTTGCATTTTAAGCTGCAAAAAGCAAAAATGAAATTTTAGATTAGCATATAATGCATTAATAAAGACTAAAAATAAAAATTCAAATCAATCCAGAAATATTTAAATAACTGTATAAGCAGCAGTTAACAAAAAAAATGAAACATCTACTAATTACAACATATTTTAGAGAGTGGTCCAATTACTTCACATTTAATGCAAAACAAAACTTTATATTACATTAAATTATGTTTGAAATTTTATATCACATTTAATTATTGAGAACAAGAATTTTGTCTAAAATTTAAATTTCAGCTTTATTCGAATTTAAAGCTAATGGACATTTGAATTTATTCCAATTCAAATTTAGAGCTAAAATGCATGCTTTCTATTAATAAGCCACATCTGTTTACATATCATCAAATCAAATTTATATTCATTTTAAGCTTAAATTTAATCCATTATTCTGTTTCACTGCTTTATTATTCAGTTAGTGTTCTCTCAGAACATGCAATCTTTCATATTTAAAAGAGCAAAGTTAAAACTTAAAACTTCATTTTATATTAACAGCTACTTTAAATATGCTACTATCATTTTTGCAGAAATGAATGTTTCTTTAGAATAAAAATCAAATTCTAAACATAATTATAAAAACAATTAAAAATAAGAAGAAATATTCAACACATGAAAACAAAAATGCAAACTTATCAATGAAGGAACAAAAAATATTTTAAATAAAAAAAAATTTTAATTGAACATCAACAACCTTCAAGCAAGAATCAAATTATAAGAAAAATATCTTTTCTTCAAGAAGATATTACTTATTTTATATATTAAAATTTCTATTACATGTAACATTAGTTAAATGTAAGATAAAATCAAATTTACATCGAAACGGTGCTTATATCTCTCAGATATAAATTTTGGTGCAAAAATATTTAGAAAATTGTGAAGACTGACAAAGAAAACTTACTTATGACAGGCAAAAGACAAGAGAATTCATGCATATTCTGAAAAATAAATGAAACTTCTGTATTTACATAAATGGTCCACAATATGTGTTATCGCTAATAATGTTTACAAGCATATATCAAAAATCAAACATGAAATACTGAGTCACTCCTAATATAATGGTAAATAAGTTTTATGCTATTTATTTATGCAATTTGAATACAATCAGTGACTACATATCTAAAACATTAATTTGTTTTTATCATAAATGAGGTTTCTTTTGAAAGCATATGAAAGAGCTCTTTGAAAAATCCATCAATAACGACAGAAAAATTTATTCATTTAAATATCAATTTCAAATAAACTCAAACTCATAATGAATATATATGCGAAATAATTGAAATCAACTGAGCAATTAGCAATGCTAATTTCAGTTCTAACATACTATTAATGAATTTGAAAAATGAATTGTGTCTTATCTATCTTCATTCATTAAATTATACTACATTATGAAAACATTAAAAAAGGATACAATTTAATTAAAATAAATTACTTAATTTCCCAAAAATTTAAGGAAAATAAAATTGTTAAATAATTATAATCCTTTTTCTTAACCCCTTAACTGCCGCGGGCGTATATATACGCCTTGCTCAGCCGATGCGTTAACTGCCCCAGGCGTATATATACGTCCTTCCAAACTGCTATCATTTGCTTTGCGCTGCTACACCTAAAATTATTCGCAAAGTTAACGCATCGGCTGCGCATCTGGGCGCATCTGGGGGGCAGTTAACGCATCGGCTGAGCAAGGCGTATATATATGCCCGCGGCAGTTAAGGGGAAATAATCATTTTCAGCCTGTTAACAAACAATTATAGTAGGCAATAATTATAATACAGAAAATAAATTCTTAGAGATACTCTTATTTTTAATTACCACATAGATGAAAATACAGTCAAAAATCGTTAATCCGGAATGATCTATAATCCGGACCTCAAAGCTACAAACTTTCTGTGCATGCATAATTTTTTGCGCATAATGCGTTAACGCACGTGCATAGGCGTTTACGCATGCGTGTAATACTTTTACGCATTCGCATAATACGTTTACGCAGCGCTTTTAATGTATAACGGACGGTATAAGCTAAGCTAAAATTATTTAATGTTGCAAATTGCGTTGTTCCTTAATCTTCGAATTGGATCCGGCTTATTATTTTTTTGCAGACTGTTAGAGCAATTTTATAAAAGTAAACTTGAACTTTCGATTACGTCAAATAGAATTTCCGATGCTAGAGCTGCCAAAGGATCTGCAAAGCGAAAGCATGTTTCGAAGTGCATTAAACAAAAAGTGGAGCTGCTGCAAAAAATGGATAAAGGCATGAAGAAAGTGACAGAGAGGTGATTTGTTTCTCTAACTATTCTGAAATCTGTTTATCAATTTCACGCTGCTCTGCGGAAGGGGGGGACGTAGCGAAGCGCAATGAACTGGAAGTTGATCTGTCAGCACTATCCTCATATTCAAGGACAGATGTTTTTATTTTATTTGGCTTATAATTCCTCACACTAAATGTAGTGTTTCATCTCGATGTACTCCGATATAATTTAAATCAATTTCCTCATCATTATAAATATCACGAATACACATCACATAGTTTTCTGGTTGCAATTTTCTAATTTCGACTATGCGTAATGTATGCTTTACGCAAGCGCGCGTTGAAAGAAATGTTTAATAAAGTAAACAAATAAATGTTAAGCTTTTTTTCGTTGTAAGTTTTGATACCCTTTAGATCATAATTGAAAAACCGATAATCCGGAATCACCGAAGTCCCGACGAGTACAGATTAAAGACTTTTGACTGTAATAACTATTTGTTACACAATAAAAACTTAATCGACCTCAAAATCTTCAACAAGCTGCAGGACTTGAATTGCCAAGCCTGCTCGTGCATCAAATGATTCCGAAAGAAAAGATTTCAAAGGTTTCAAGCCTCCTTCAAGTATAACAGAACGTCCACATGCCCCAAGTAAATTTGGTATAGGCATAGTCATCTTAGTTTTTGCCTGTAACTAAATTTCAAAGAATATAATAACATATAAAGTGGAAAACATAAGTATTTCAACTGATATGACACTTTCATTGAATTAATTAACAAAAATTAACAGAATATAAATGTTCACACAAATACTTATTGCTTGGTACTGACTTCAGAAACCAAAAGTTTAATAATATACCTTGAAAATGCACACATGCACATTTTATTCATGATAGAACAAACATTTTTTACATTCCCTAACAACATGCAGTATGAACATTTTAGAGGATAAAAATTCCTACCCTACACAACAGAAAATTACTTCAAATTACATATAATTTTAATTAGCACTGATACCCAATCAAAATTTTAAAAAAATGAAAAAAAAATCATGCAGCATATATACGTAACTACAGTCTTCAAACCTTCAGAATGACATAGCCTGGCTGCATTACAAGACTAGTAAGGAGCAAAATTTTTTCTTCTCCACTAAAATGACCATCAAAATTTTCATCAAAGCTCTTTGTAAGCTCACTTAATAATTTAGTACTTGAGCAAACTGGTAGGCTGCAAAATGTTAGAGTAAAAAAAAAAAAAAAAAAAAATACATAAATTCATTTTTTATTGCAAAACAAACAATAAAGAGGTCATTAAATCAAACAGTGAAGAAGTGATTCTCTTTATTATTATACATAAATAATGTCAATTTAAATTTTTTTAACTATCACACGTTGGTTGTAATTATTTATTACATAATAACTTCAATTTTCCAAAAGGAGCCTCTAAACATGGATCAATAAGAAATTCCCTGGTTAAGATGGAAATCAAAAAGGAAATTATTATAAATTCCTAGAGTCATAAAACAATACTAAAAAGTACCAAAACATCTTTGGCAACATTGTATACGACAAAACTTACATAATTGCTTAAATATTCAAATATTCTTCATTCATCACTTTCAAAAAGCAGTTCATAATTTTTGATTGCAATTTCATACTGACAAATGTGGATCACAAGAATACCTACCAATAATGTAAGAAAATCTCAAATCTATCATAAGGTTAAACAAAAATGAGTTTCTTAAAAATATTTTCCCTTCCGATATTATCGGGTCAGACCATAAGTTCGTGCTCATTTAGAGTATGCGTTGAATTCACTATGACGCATTTACTAAAACAATACAATTTTGAACCTGTTGAAACTTTTCTTCGTTTGACTAACACATTATTGAGTTCATCACCAAACTTTCATTAAATATCAGCATTTTAGTACCCATAGAAGATGAATACAAGATAATCAGTACAAAACATCTGTGCTACCTTTTCTGCCAGGTTGCAGCTATTATAAAAATTAATAGTGTACATGGCGACACACTATCAAAGGAATGCCCCAATGGTTTAAAAATTTAAAGTTGGAAAAAGCAGCATTGATGATGAACCCCGTTCAGGACGTTTTGAACTGTTAAAATGAAATCAAACAATTAATTCAGAAGTTTATAGTGGACAACTTTGCTGTCTAAACTTAAAATTGATCAAAAAATGCCCACGATTGGTGAATATCAAGAAGTGTTGTTTCAGCATGATAACGCTAGACCGCATACGGCTTGAACACTGCAAAAAATTAGTGAATTTAATTGGGAGCTTTTGCCACATCCTGCTTACTTCCCAAATATTGCCAAAGCGATGTTCACTTATTTCGTGCCTTACAAAATTTTTTACTGGGAAAAGAATTAAATTCTACACAATGAACTTTCAAGTTTTTTTCCATAAAACCAGAGTCTTTCTACAGCAATGGCATAAAAAAGCTGCCTGTAAGACGGCGAGACATTGTAGATAATGGAGGAAAATATATACAGTCAAAAGTCGTTAATCCGGACTCGTCGGGCCTTCGGCGATTCCGAATTATCGATTTTACCGGATTATAGATAATCAGTTTAAATCTGGTAAGATGGCATCCAGAATTATAAAATTAAAACTATGAACCATTAATTTATGAAATAAAGAACAATTATGATCTAAAGGGTATCAAAAAATTTACAAAAAAAAAAAAAGCTTAATATTTATTTGTTTTACTTTATCAAACATTTCTTTCGATGTGTAAGTTGTTAAGTTGCTTCGTTTTATGTCAAATACTTTCTTTTAATTCTATAAACAGACATAATTTCTTCTTCAGTTACAAAGTTCCGCTGTTCAAGTCCTATAATTGCTGTGTCGATAATACCGACTAATTTGTCAATCAAAATTTTTTCGTTTTCAATAACCTCTGTATCATTTTCTTCACTATCGGAAGTGAATTATAATGAAGAGGAATTTGATTTAAATCATATCAAAGACGGAATACATCGAGATGAAATACTACATTTAGTGAGGAATTATAAGCCAAATAAAATAAAAAAGATCTGCCCTGAAGATAAGGATAGTGTTGACAGATCAACTTCAATTCATTGGGCGCCGAGGCGTCCCCCCCCCCAACCGCAGAGCAGCGTAATTGATAAACAGATTTCGGAATTGTTAGAGAAACGAAGGATATGCCTTTATTCATTTTTTGCAGCAATTCCACTTTTTGTTTAATGGACTTCGAAACATACTTTCGCTTTGCAGATCCTTTACATATTAGTAATATATATCGGAAATTCTATATGACTAATCGAAAGTTCAAGCTTACTTTTATAAAATTGCTCTAAAAGTCTGCAAAAATAATAAGCCGGATCCAATTCGAAGATTAAAGGAACAACGTAATCTGAAATAACGCGACTGAAATAGAGAATTAGATAATTTTAGCTTTGCTTATACCGTCGGTTATACATTAAACGCGCATGGTTGTAAATGTATTATGCGCACGCACACATGCATATTCGCAGCCGTAAAAATCTTATGCGCATGCGTCAATACGACGCATGCGCATAAGACCTTTACGGCTGCGAACAGAAAGTTTGTAGCTTTGAGGTCCGGATTATGGGTGTCCGAATTAACGACTTTTGACTGTAATTGATTAAAATGTTAAATTGCGTTTTTTGTATTATTTAAAAATTTACTAAAAAATGCACGTGAATTTATGGACTGACCTAATACTTCTTTTCAAATATATAAAAAAAAAAAAAAAAAAGATTTTTTTTAAATATTTATTGCCTGGAAACTATACTTTAGCATTGCCAGAAAAACATAAAATCTAAATTTATTGTTACTAAGCATAATTTTATAGTTGCATTAAATGGATAAATATATTTGCATTTTGGAAACATTAGCTAAAAACTGTTTATGCATACATAACCAATAAGCGAAGTGAAACAGCATGACTATGAAGAACACAAATAAAATTTAGAAGGCAACATGAATATAAAGAACAAAAATTTAATTTAGAAGATGCATCATTTTTAATGCTTCTTTACAGATTCTGAAAACTCTTCAAACAGTTTATGGAATTCAAATGTAAAAACTTAGGTAAATATTAGTTTTAAGTATTTTTGATTAAATAATTGCAAGTATACATAAAAATGCTACTATACAAAAATAATGCAAAACAACTTAAACCACCATTTCAGAAATTAAAGAAAAAAGAAATAATCACTAAATATACTTTTTTCTTAAATTATAAATATTATGCTTCATATCTTGCAAAATACAATTTCTTAATAGTACGAGAACAACGTTTTCTCTTCTTAAATGAAATCACATATTTATTTTTCAAATGACCATAAGTACGTCTTGGTTGATCAAAATTCAAAAGCATATAAAGCAGTCAAAATCCCAAGTTACACATTTCCTTATATATTTCTTATTATAAATATTTTCAACTCAAACATACAACACTCTAAAACAGATCTATTATGCATAGCATAAATTTAACTGTCTTTAGAAAACGAAATGAAGTTTTAAACGGAGTTTTAAATTCAAAATACAAAGCTCATAAAAGTAATAAAATATTTATTTCTGAGCTGCTGGAACTACTACTACTAGGTATTAACATCAGACATGTTTGTATTTGGTTTCATAACAAGCAAAAACAAAATACACAGTACACTCTTTTTTCTGAAACAAAGAACTTGTAAAAACTGTCAAAATCCCCCTATAATAAATCATACACAAGCTACTGCTGTATCCAGTTTACCTAAAAATTGCATAACATCAGGAGCTTTTTCAGGGGCATGATGTGCAAGTTCAGCTTTATATACTCACTAATTAGTTTTGCTAAATTTCAGACCGACTATATCAGAAAATTGGATATCTCAGCTTATATATTGATGGAAGCTATAAGCACAAAAAATATTTGTCACTCTGAAAGTTAATAATTAATACAATTTGAACTCTGGTACTTATTTCAATGGGGATGGCTGACTGCATTTTGACAAACCAAAGAAATAATATCCGATTTGAAATTCCTAAGAATTAGACACAGGAGTTTCCTCCCTGAAGGAAAACTATGTTACTGATTTCTCAATCACATTCAGTCTTTTCCATTTGAAATTAATGATGAACAGTTGTTAATATGTATGCATATCTTCCATAATCTTCCATATAACTACATGTATACTACCTGTATGAAAATTAGCATACATGCATGTCTTCTATAAACACATCTACATTTGTAGATCAGCTACATTCTATTAAATAGTTGCTAAGTATTTTATTATTCAATTGCTAAACATAAGAAATTATCACCATGGGCATATTGATAACAAGCACAAACTGAATTCATATACAGTCAAAAGTCGTTAATTCGGACACCCATAATCCGGACCTCAAAGCTACAAACTTTCTGCGCATGCGTTTTTGACGCATTGCGTAAGGACATTACGGCTTGCGAATATGCGTGTGCGCATGCGCCCATAATATGTTTACGCATGCAACGTTTAATGTATAACAGACGGTATAAGCTAAGCTGAATTATCTAATTGTTAATGTTACAGATTGCGTTTGTTCCAATTTCGAATTGGCCCGGCTTATTATTCTTTGCAGACTGTTAGAGCAATTTTTTTATAAAAGTAAGCTTGAACTTTCGATATGGTCAAATAGAATTTCCGATGTATATTACTAATATGTAAAGGATCTACAAAGCCGAAAAGTTTTTTCGAAAAGTCCATTAAACAGAAAGTGGAATTGCTGCAAAAAAATTAAAGGATAATCCTTTGATTACCTAATCATTCCGAAATATGCTTTCAATTTTCACGCTGCCAAAAAAAACGACGCCAATGCAATGAATTGGAAGTTGATCTCTCAGCACTATCCTTTATCTTCAGGGCAGATGTTTTTATTTTTATTTGGCTTATAATCCTTACTAAATGTAGTATTTTCTCCGATGTACTCCGTCTTTGATATGATTGAAATCAAGTTCCTCGTCATTATAATTCGTTCCGATAGTAAGGGAAAGTGACCACAGAGGGTTTGAAAACGAAAAAATTTCGATTGACAAATAGTCGGTATTCTTGACACAGCAATTTATAGGTCTTGAACAGCGGAACTTTGTAACTAAACAAGGAAAATTTGTCTGTTTTAATAGAATTAAAGAGAAAGTATTATACATGAAACGAAGCAACTTAAAACAAACTTACATTGAAAGAAATGTTTAATAAAGTAAACAAATAAATATTAAGCTTTTTCTTTTTGTAAATTTTGATACCCTTTAGATCATAATTGTTCTTTATTTCATTAATTACGGTTTCATATTTTTAATTTTATAATTTCTGCATGCCATCATACCAGATTTAAACTGATGATCTATAATCCGGAAAAAACGATAATCCGGAATCGCCGAAGTCCAGACGAGTCCAGATTAACGACTTTTGACTGTAAATCAGAAGTAGAAAATACTGTACATATCTTATATTTTATATGCATATAATTTGATACGAAAAAAAAAAAAAAAAGAAAGAATACTTACGCAAGCTGAGAGAGAGGAATGTCAAGCAGAGCATTTAAATTCCTAAAGTTTTCTGTAGATAATAAATTTGAATTGGCAAACACAGTTTTCCAAATAGCAGCAGACAAATCACAGGGTATAGTTTGGCTAGCATTCCTACATATAAATTCATCAAATTTGTTCCATTCCTCAGTAACAAGGGAACTAATTAAGATTCTCTGTGTACGCAGAACTCCTTTTTTCCACATTATTTTTGTATTATGAGCCATACTCAATTCACCATGAAACAAAACAGAATCTTTCATAACTTCATTACACATTCCATATCCAAAACAAACAGGGCACGAATATAAATGACTGAATATAGGAGCCCATGGCGTAGCAGTTCCAGATACTAAATGTTCTTTTTTCACAAAAGTGGTTACAGGTAACTGTGACGGAAATGTTAAATAATAAATAAATGATAAAAGGGTATGAAATTTATTTGATAGTATCCTTGTTCCAAAAAATGCTATAAGAAAAAAGGAGAAAAGGAGAAAAAGCTTTTTTGGCCATCGCCAGCGATTAGAAAACATCTTACTCACAGCCTCAGATGAAGACAAGTATCTATTAAAGAAAAAAAATTAAGAAATTACAATTTAACATAAATAAATCTTTATTACATACCAACATTTAATATCACATATTTCAACAGCATAGTTAAACATATTTTCAAGAGTGCTAAGTCTTTAACAGCTTTTGAATGCTTTTAGTTTCTTTACATTCAAAATTAAATCTAACTAAATAGTAGTGCCTTTATTCAGATTTTTTTATTTGAAATGCTATACACTGTTTATTTTATTATTACACTACTGCACAATACTTCACCATGCACTGTTCAATCAGAATTGTACCTTATAGCAAAAGTAAACAACACAGACTTTAGGCATAAAGAATCAGTGGCAGCATAGGATTAAGTGGTAGGCTATATGAGTAATAATTCAGGTACGACATTTTTAATAGGAATCTTCTAGCTTGGATAGAACTGGACATGCACTGCATAAAGGGCAGAAAGGACATGCACTGCAGAAAGGGCAGAATTTTTGCAGAAAGGGCATAAAGATTATTTAAATTTTAAAAAAAAATAATTTAATGATTATAATATGAATTTAAAAAAAAACAGGAAAAATTCAAAATTCACAAATTTATTTGACATTATTTTGACATGAAAAATTCTACTATTTGTGAAATTTTGCAAAATAACCAAAAATTCACAAAAATAGTCATGAAAATTTATACATGATAAAATTACTGTCATAACCATATGTAATATAAAAGTATTACTTATTCTCTATATACTAGCAGTAAAGAACAAAATAAAGCTGTAATTATGGAACAAAACATAAGAATGATTTTTCATTTCACATTTGAGGCAAACAAGAATATTTATTTAGTAATTGGTGAATGGAAGAACAGCTAATAAAGAGTATACTTGAGTATTAAATTCAACATACTTAAAATTACATAGCACATATTAAGTTATGTCAAAGTTTTTACAGATGGAACATCTTACCTTATCAACAGAAACTCAAATTTTATTGAATTCCAGCTTAGGAGGCTAGTACACAGCTCCAACAGCACTGAACATATATTAAACCTTTTAAGAACCGAATTCAGATCCAGGTTTATTAATTACTTTTTTGCCTAGTTCAGCTTCTAATGGTTTTATTTAAAGGTACCAATCATTAAAACAGGACAGAATTTTTTTTTTTTTTACATACAATTTTTATGTTGTTCCCAACTAGGAACATTGGCCAATTCTGATTAAACTTGCCCTATTAGTGGTTAAGACTACTGAATATTGGTAGTTTTACCAGGTTTGGGTTTGAGCCCAGATGAACAGGCTGACTCCATGGTTGGTTTTTGAGTTTTTCCTATGTGTAATATGAATATAAGTCAGTTTCCCTCAGAAAATCTTCCATTAAGGCACGCTCCTCTTAGAACGATAGGCTCCGTACAGGCACCCCTCCTCTTACGCAGGCTTTGCCATATTCAAATAACTTAATCAAACCTTTAATTCAACTCACTATGCTAATCATAAAAATGGAATTTAGAGATAAATAGACAAAATAATAAACAAAATAATATGAAATGTAATGGATTACTTTTCAATTTAAGCACAGTTATGAAATTTGTAAATTTAAATGGAAAAAAAGTCTAGTTTTTTTTAATAAAAAGTACATAAATGCTTAATTTACACCTATATTCTGCATTAAACTGTAAATCAGTTAAAATGTAACCTCTTTTTGCACTCATTACATTCTGTTCTTGCATTTACTCTATGCTGTACACATCTCCTTGAGTTTTTTTCTATGAGGTAGTGACCTTTTTTTTTTTTTTTTTTTTTTTTTTTTTTTTTTTTTTTTTTTTTTTTTTGTTCTGATCGTGAAATTTTCGTCTGACTGAGGTTTAGAAAAGTGAATGAATTCAATGAATGCAATGTAATTTAATATGTTCATTATAATGCAGAACTTTAGTAGCAACAGCTTTTTGTTTTGTTACATATATACTTTTTGTGTTGTACGGTGATGTTCAGTTGATATGTGTAAATGGGTAAAAATATACAGTCAAAAGTCGTTAATTCGGACACCCATAATCCGCAATGATCTATAATCCGGACCTCAAAGCTAAAAACTTTCTGCGCATGCGCCGCGTTAACGCATGCGCTAGGCATTTAAGCGCGCGTAAGGACCTTTACGACTGCATTTGCGTGGGCACAAGCGCAGAATACGTTTTCGCTGCGCGTTTAATGTTATAACGGACGGTTATACGCTTAAAATTACTAAAAAATTAATCTTAATTATATTTTATTTCAGTTAATTTTGATGAATTGCGTGTTCCTTAATCTTCGAATTGGATCCTTATTATTTTTTGCTGCTGTAGAGCAATTTTATAAGCGTTTAATTAACGGACGGTATACGCCTAAATTATAAATTGTCTATTTCAGTTAATGTTGATGATTGCGTTGTTCCTTAATTTCGAATTGGATCCTGCTTATTATTTTTTGCTGACTGTAAGAGCAATTTTATAAAAGTAAGCTTGAACTTCGATTATGTCAAATAGAATTCCGATGCTGGAGCTCCCAAAGGATCTACGAAAACGAAAGTATGTTTCGATGTCATCAACACAAAAGTGGGAACTGCTCCAAAAAATGAAAGCATATCCTTTGTTTAACCTAACCGTTCCGAATCTGTTTATCAATTCACGCTGCTCTGCGCGGGGGGGGGGTGGTACTTGGCGGGGCGCGCATGAACGGAAGTTGATTTGTCAACACTATCGTTATCTTCAGGGCAGATGTTTTTTTTTTTTATTCGGCTTTATAAATTCCTTATTAAATGTAATATTTCCTCTCGATGTACTTCGTCTTTGATATGATTTAAATCGAATTCCTCGTCATTATAAATATCACGAATACATATCAAATAGTTTTTTTGGTTGCAATTTTCTAATTTCGGCTATGCATAATGTTTTTACGCATGCGCGCGTTTGAAAGAAAATGTTTTAATAAAGTAAACAAATAAATATTAAGTTTTTTCTTTGTAAATTTTGATACCCCTTTAGATCATAATTGCTCATTATTTTATAAATACGGTTTCATATTTTTAATTTTAATTTTTCTGCATGCCATCTTACCAGATTTAAACTGATGATCTAGAATCCGGAAAAATCGATAATTCGGAATCACTGAAGTCCCGACGAGTCCGGATTAAAGACTTTTGACTGTATTTCAGAGTGTCCTTTGGCGAAAATTGGCGATTGGCCAGTAAGGCATAATTTCAAGATGGCCGCTACACAAAACCAAAATAACAAGTCAAGTCCATGTACACATCAATCTGTTTTCATTTTAAAAAAATCAGTAGAATGATGACATCATATAATGTTAAAACAAAGTTACTCAACACCAAAACTGAAATTTGTTGCCAATCGAAACTCAATAAACTGTGCTTTAAATCACTCAATGAAATTCAGTCTGTGGCACACAAAATTCCTTAACAGCATCCAAAAACTTTCAAAAAATTAACTGACCTAGAATATGCTTACTGCTGTCTCCACATAAATTCACAAAAATAAGAGTAAAAAATATCCTATGTAATATCAGACAGTCAGTGACATTAATTTCTTGCATGAACCTTTCTTGAGACAAACCCATTTAAAGCCATCTGACTGATCTTTACGTTCGACTATATGCATTTCCTTCATACAAACAGGATGCCTATAATGACTACTAAGCAAACCTTGATTTGCACAACAGTCAATTAAGGCTTTTTTCCCCTTTTATTCCAAATACTTCACATTAATCTCATCACATACAGCCATTTTATGGTGTACAGCATAAAATAAGCAACGTACTTCCTAACTGACATCCAATGCAGAAATAAGCCCTTACAAATATTTTCCCATCCGTCAAATTCACAGCAATCACGTAACCAATCATGTCATAATAGGGTTTCCTAACATTCAACTACTCAGGTTACCATAAATGAAACAACAATTTGGCGAAAAATGAAATAATAACTTAATGATAATCAAAGAGGTATCCTTATATGTAGACTAACTGTGTAAATGCCATATAATTGCTGTACATCCACATTTTTCCATATAATTGTTGTACATCTTTTAGTTAACTGAACTAGAAGATGAGAATATAATTTGAAGAAATAGTCACTACAGAATTATAATTTTTTTTCATCTCTTTAGAAGACATCGGTGGACAGTTTTGGATTCAGTGTTCTCAGACATTTCCTATAGCTTTTATGCCTTTATTTGCAAGTTCCTCCGAAAAACAATACAAACTTAAAATAACTATCAAAAAATATTTCATCTTGAAAAACGTTAGTAACAACTAACAGAATGATACTGACAATCCTAGTACCAAAAGGTGCAGTACCAAGCATACCAAACACCTTGTACTAAGAGATTCCTTTTCGTAAAACATGTAGATTCCCTTTCCTGAAATGTAACGGAATTTTCCCTTTCCAGAAAATTTAAGAAAAAAGATTCTTTTTATTTTCAGTGGAAGCTCATGAAAGGAAAAGTAAGTCTTTCACAGAATAGTAGCTTCTGACCAATGCTTCCAGTTGAGAACACGGAAGTTTAAAGAATTATAACAAATGCATTTCTTATTAATATTATTATAGCTTATGGATTTTAGTAAAAGGAATCTCTTAACTATGTCTGCTGAATTTCAGAAATACTTTTTTTCAATTTTATAGGAATTTTTCAGTTGTGCCCTTTGAAAAATGGCAAACTGCTTGTTTTATATCTGAAACCCTGATTTATATATTAAAAAACTAAGCCATCTCTCATTTATAAATGAAAATCATGATGTCCGGTTGATAAGGAATCTTGATGTTGATGATTATCTTGTTTATTTTTCAGAACTAAAATATTCTCATCAAAATGGAAAGTAATGTCACTTTAAAATATGGAAGGAGAAAATAAAAATGTTTTATCTTAATGTTATTTCTTGGACATAATTTTAATATACAGTACAAAGTCCAGAATCCGGACATCATTATCCGGAATGATCTAAAATCCAGACCTCAAAGACAAAAATATTTTTTTTT